AAGTTACAGTCCAAAAACGCGGCAGATGTGAAATAAGTTATCGCTATGACTGAAAGTAATTACAAAGTCAGACAGAGTTTTAAATAAACCTCTTACTTAATTGGAGTTTTATTTAAAACTTATTTAAAAGACCTTAGATTAGTTGATTTTGCTAGCCTAAAAATACGCATTAGAATATAAAGGCGTATTTTTAGGCTAGCAAAATCAACTAGAGCTTATGGTGATCCAATAACAGCCAAATTCAAACTAAAAATGTGGACTAGTAGTCAAAGACTACACAATTTAATTTTAATCTAAGCTGCCTCAGTAACTCGTTGTAACGTAGTTATTACATAACAAATTCAAATATCAGCAACGATAACGCAAAAAGAAATTATTAGAATTTACCAGAGCTGGTAGGAACTAATACAGTGTGCAAACAGAGAGCAGAAACAAATTCTGTCTTGCAATCTCAAAATCGCAGTTTAAAAACTATCTAAGTGATTTTCATTCCAGTGAGGAAATGGGAAAATTATAGCAAAGGATGAAATTACAAACAACTACTTAATTTACATAACTGTACATATCTTTGAAGAATAATTTTTGTTCTCTTTATGTATTTAGTTTCTTCCTTCAATATGTTTCCTCTTCATTTTAGAATTTTTGGATTTAAAGATTTCTGTTATCCTAAAAAACTAAATTCATTTAGAATGTATAGGAAAATGTGCTAACTTTATTTAGTAATATGAACATTCAGAATAAATATGAAATGGTATATGGTATGGATGGTTATAGAACCAGTGTTGCAGAATTTTTCGAATTTACTGAGCAAACAAATCTAAAAATGGCAAAATTTTAGAATTTAGGAAGCACTAGGCAGCAGAATTTAGGATCCAGAGAGATTGCATCAGGTGGGAAAATGCATAGCACCAATCCTGTGTATGATGGACAGAACCGTAGCTAGGGTTTTCAGCACCCACAGAAGAGAAAACTGATAGAGAAAACTGATGCATATGGAGATAATTACATGGGAAAAACTCTTTATCATGAAAAAATTTAAATGAAGGCACTTTTAATTAATTATGTAGCTATTTTGCTTCTACTAAGAATTGTTTGTAAATTGTGGTAAAGTGCAATTCAAGCATTTTTTACTTTCTTTATTTTTTTAGATCCAAAATATTGTCATGGCTAAAATGGAAAGTAATAAGACTTTATAATATGACAGTGAAAAATAAAAATGTTTCATTTTGATGATATTTTTAACACAATTTCAGTATATTAGCATTATTTTAATGAAATTGATCAATGATATAATGTTTTTTAAAAAAAATATCATCGAAAAATTCCCAGATTTCCGAATTTAAAGTTTTCTATTGAGACTGATAATAAAATCCCCAAAATGTTCATAAATCACCAAATTTGGAATTGTTTCGTTAAAAACTCATATTCCCAAAAGTGACAAGTTTTTTAAGAGCTCTTCATTAGAAAAAATGAAATAATTTTTAAATGCTTTTGTTTCACTTCTTGCTCAGAAACTTGAGTATTCCACCATTTATATTAGGAATATGAACAAATTATAATCCATGAACCTATTCACCCATTCAAAAAACAACTATATTTGTCAATGAATAACCAAAAATATTTGTTCAAAATACTAAATCACATTTGAAATAGCAGTTGTAAAAACAGACAGAAATTTTAAATGCTTAAATTTAAGGACCTCCTGCCAAATTTGGTCGAAATTAAGGACTTTCAAGGACCAAAAATCTAAGGACTTTTAAAGACTCTTAAGGACCATACGAACCCTGAGGATTGCTATTTAATGTGCATCTTGTGAATTGGACCTTCCTCCCTCCCATTGTGACCAATAAATTATTTCCAGTAGTTATATTTAGGTTAAAAAGGAATTTGGACTTTTCTTAGGGACAGAAGGAACCTTTTCGATTGCAAAACTTTCTAATTTAAAAATAATATGCAAAATTTTAATTTGTGCGTGAAAAAAAATTAGCTTATTATAAAAATTAGCATATATTTCCCAACCATTTTTGATTCTTTGAAAATCAAAGCATACTTAAGAAATCCAAATCAAAAAACCTATTTTTGGACACAGACAGGATGTGGAGCTAAATATTTTTACCACCTGGTGCAATATCTACAGGTTCCACAGTCTGCTGCCTAATGCCTCCCCTAAATTAAAAAAGAAATTGCAATTCTACTGCTAGTTAATTCTCTAAATTCTAAAACTTATGCAACCACTTTGGTGCTGGCTCCGGACAAAGGAAGTACTGATAATTTTGAACTTTAATCAAATCAAATTTTAAAAAAAACAGAGAGAAAGAAAATATTTTTTAATTCAGAGCAAATGACTGGTGATAGGGCCTTTTTATTTTTATGAAGAACAAAATATGGGAATTCTAGAAAATATTACAAAATAAACAAATTTCAAACTAATTGCATTGAATTAGAAGTGCAAAACTCAAATTTCTAGCTATGTATTAATAAGAATTTAAAATAAGTTACCTATGATATATATTAGTAAATAAAAGATTAAAGCAGAGAGAAAAAAATTTAAATTAATTGCAATCTGAAAACTTCAGATCAATGAAACATGTCACAGAAGAGTTTGCAACTAAAATTTTGCAAGTTTAAAAGAATATTTAAATAAAATAAATTTAATTCTGCAAGTTACATAACTTATGACGCTATGAAAATATTTTATTAATTATAGCACAGCTAGCAAATGTTCATAAAGTTATCAGTCGGATATATTAACTAAATCATTCTTTATATATACTAGGGGTGGCCAACCTGCGGCTCTTTGAAGGATTATTTCTGGCTCTCAATAAATGTACCCCAGTTCCCTTTTCGTTTTTGTGTTATTATATTTTAAAAAAATTATTATAGTTCCATATTTGTTTCAAAATGTCTTTTAAATTACAGACAACAAATATGAAAGACTAAGTGCAACGTTGTTCAACAAATTTCATTTCCATTCATCGTCTCTTGATTTTTTTCTGAATCCATTTGAAATTAACATAATTCAAGGTCAGTTTTTCATTTCCAATATAATTATGACCCAAAAAGCATCTGGAGAATTAGAATTAATAGAGATGCAAGAAGATCAGGCTCTACAATTAAAATATAAATTGATGCCGATTACTGAATTTTGGAAATTTGTACCAGAATCGAAGTATCCTGAATTAAAAAAGGCTGCTTGTCAAATTATTTCAATATTCGGAACAACGTACTTATGTGAATCATTTTATTCCACTTTAAAATTCGTGAAATCCAAACACCAATCAGTATTAACTAACCAGCATCTCAAAGAATTACTCAGAAATGCTGTCATCAATTTTTCACCAAATTTTAAAGAATTATCAAGAGAAGTAAAATAAATAAATGTGTTTAATTTTTAATATGTAAATTCAATACACATATTTTGTACTTTTATTTATATATTTTCAATAAATATAATTTCTGTAAAAAAATTTTTAATACCTTTTTTGCATATCTTTTACATACATATTTAACTGCGGCTCACGAAAAATTTCAAATTTTGAAAAATGGCTCAGACTGTCAAGGAGCTTAGCCATCCCTGATACATACGTATCAGATACATTTTTTAAAAAGTAAAATTAAAATTATTTAGTTAACCAACAGTTAACTAATTTAGTTTGAAAGCTAAATTAAAGATCTTATGCTTTGCCAAGTAATAACACTCAGAGACGGGCTTTGTAGGAGGGAATATGAAATATATCTTTTGCAGATTGGTAATATTTTCTGACAACTGCTTTTAGATTTTTCCTTTTTCTTTGTTGACCAGTTTGTGCTAAACTGCAGGTAACTGAAAACACAGAAACTCAATTCAGGTATATGGATGTTCAACTAAATAATCTGTATCTGAGGGCAACAATGGTATGTATGAGTTAAAGTAGCATCGTTTTAAAAGGCATAAATAGCTGAAATTTTTTAACTTTTTTTTTTCTTTTCAAAAAATGTCACTATGGCTACTTTAACTGTGAAATTCCAGAACATGACAAATTATTTAATATGGATTCTTCAGATTCAGTAACATACTTCATAGACATGGACATAAATGAAGGTTATCAGTATAAACAACATTTTCTAATAAAATCACACCAATACATTTCTTTTTTAAAGTTTCAGTATTTTCCCGAATTTTTTTTTCAACATCACTAAGAAAAGAATTTTATTTCACCATTACACTCACTTAGTCTTCTGATATAAAAATTAAGCATGACGAACTATAAATACTTCCCTGATAAATGACGATTTAATTTCCTCAATAAACCTCTATCAAATATTACCTTAAAAAAGTTACTAAAAATGTAAAATTACAACTTAATTTTTTAACCTCTGCATATTTACAGCCATATAAAGAAAAGCTGCAATAACGAAAACTCAGCTTTTTTGCTCTAAGCTTATTTTTTCCTTTTCAAAAATGAGAATTTGTTTGCAGACACATTTAATAAAAGGACATTCTGTATGGATGGGATGAAAAAACAGAAGACTGGCTTTATGCTTTTAAGTAACTGAAACAATAACTTTGAAAATATAACTATTATTAAAATATTAAAAATGCCTTTCTCTCTCATTCCCCTTAATAACATGAAATTTTCCTTGCATTGAATGCAATATAATCACATAAATTAATACAGTGTACTGCTGCATAAAGACAAAAATGAATTTATTTTACTCACATAAAAAGAGTTCAGGCCGACCATATGAACATTGGTAGTTCCACCTAAGCAAATACGAAGGCTGCATGAACATTTTTGAGATTTTCCTCATGTGCAAGGCTGATATGAGCCAGTTTCCCTTACAAAATTCTTCACAAAGACAATCTCCCATTAGGCAGATAGCCCTTGTGCATGCCACAGTAAAATAAACCAAAAACAGTTCTTACAAAACTACATAGGATTTCAAAATGTTTCAGAAATGCATGCAACTAAGAATGTAACAGTTATAATATTAGAAGCCAGAATTTCAAATAACAAAAAGAGCTTTGAAAATATCAAATTTATTTGTAGAACAAGCAATACAGATTCACAATGCATGCTAAATTTACAGGAAAAATAGTGCTGACTATAAATAAATGATTAAACGGAAAATGAAAAACACTTAAATGATGTGAATGCATCTAAAATGAAGAGATTCTACAGTTAATTAACCATACTGTTGAAAAATTAAAAGAAAGATAATCAACACTCTTTGGGAAAAACACGAAATCAAAATTTGATCCAATTATTTTTATACTCCATATTTAATGATACAGAATATATGATTTAAAAATAAGCTCATGTATCATAAAGTTGTCAGCAAATGTTCATAATTTTTACCTATTTTGATACTTTTTGCTAAATGCTAACTTTCAGATCTATGTAGAATACTTTAGCAAGTTTATATTTATGAAACTATTTCAAAACATTTTAAATTAACCCTAAAACAGGACTGAAAAAAATGTGCACCACTAAGTGACTGTTGCAGATTGAATAAATTAAGCTTCAAGATCTAATCCTAAACCAAGCTTATGACCTCCTTGGTTGAAGCTCCTGCCATCAATCATAGCAGATAATGATAACTGAATACCTAGAAAACAAAATTTTTTCATTAAATAACCGTACTCAAAATACAAAGGTAATATTTACATGTGAAAATTGCATTAAATGTTTTAGTACAAGGTGAACTACTTTTTCATAAAAAACTGTACTTAAAAATGCAAATACAATATAAACATTTTACATTTATACACAGAATCTATAAATATGAAAGGATGAGCCTGTCTGTCTGTGTATCTTTCGTTCGTGCTGCATGTAAACTAATAGCCCCAGGGCTACGAAATTTGGTACATAGGTGCATCTAGATAAGAGCGAGAGCACCTCAAGGTGATTTTTTTCCAAATTTCAATGAGTTTTCTAAAAATTTTTTATGAAATCACATCAAATGGAGAATTCTCTCTCATGTCAGTAACAATGGCATGCAGCCATTGTTGCTGATATGAGCACTGTCGCCACTCGGAAAAATGAGGGTGATAATTTGGTGCAGTTTTTAATTTAATGCTTTTCTTTGATACTGGATGTTTGTCGAGAGAAGGCAATGGGAATTTGGTTAATTTATTTATTAGACTAATTAATATTTATACAAATGGATATTGCTTATTTAATTGTAATTTTTTATACACAATACAATTTTATTGAATTTTTAAAAATAAAATTGCTCTGCAGAGTAAAATTCTGCGCATTTTTAAAATTTAATGTTTGGTGTTCCCTTTAGGCATTTTTCTGGTATATTTAAAAGCCAGATGAAGGCTGGCTGCATAGTGGCAAGTAGTTTAATTAAAGAAATTAATGTTGAATAACTTGACATACCAGTTCTCAGTTTGTGAGTTATTCCTAATCCAATTTGGCTGGAGTTATTGATTTTTGCCTAAAAGAATAAAAAATTAAAATAAAACTCTATAAATAAAATAAATTAATAACCACCAGAAAGGTCACTAAAATGCAACAGATTATTTTATAAATATCAAATGAAATAAATAAATGCAATATAAAATAGAGAAAAGAAGATATTCTAGCAGCTGTATCTACAGCCACTAATTAGCTTTGGATAATATCTCCATAATCATGTTTTTAATTTTGATTATGACTAACTAGATGCCTATGCAACAATGTTACAAGAACTTTCTAGCATTATGAAGCTACTATTTTAGTTGAATGTCACTATAATCACTATTTCTTTGTGCTAGCTCATTTAAAACTTTGTCTGGACTGAGCTCAATTAGTGCAAAAGGTGAACAAATACAATAAGATTTTTAAATAACTGATTAAAATCTCAAAACAAGAATCATACAGGTACATCACTCAGTTTCTTTTTAATTGCAGAACATGTATATTTAATCTGACATAGAATTTCCATTAGCAATGTTAATAATATATAATATGGTTAACTTGTTTAAATGCTCATCAGCTGAAGAATTCAGGAAGAGCATACTTTATAATCACCGCTCACAAGCACCGAATTTATGAGGCATTGGACGCATTTCACAAGAACTTTTGCTATGGGCTACCTCATTTTAAACAGATATGTTTAATGTATTTTAAAAATTTAAAAAATTACTTAATGATTTGAGAGCCCACTGGAATTCGGGATTCCTCGCAATTGCAACACATGCGACTTCATAAATCCATCTCTGCTATTAAAATATATTTTGCTAATAATAAATAGCAGATACATAAAAATATTTCAAGTAATGGTTGACATTAGGAAACTATAAAAATATTCAACTAAATAATACCATATGATTTAATTGCCGAATTAGTAACAAAACTAAATCTGAAATTGAAATGTGGTTTTCATTCTGTCAGCATATTAAAAAATCTGATGTGTACACCACATGACTTCCTTGTACGGAATATTAAATTATACGCATTTTTTCTTGCATTTCAACTTATTGGATTGAATTAAATCTACTTCGCCGACAACGCATAAACCACAATAGAATAAATGCATTCTTTAAAATTCACTCTAGTATTTGTTTACCATACCGACACTCTGGCGCTAGATTCACTTAACAGTATTATATTTCATTCATATTACAGCTCATAAGGCACAAAATTTATATCATTTAAAGAATAGAATTATCTAATCGTTGCCACATGTTCTATTCAAATACTACAATAAAGCTAGAATGATGTATAAAAGAAATTAAGCAAACAAAACAAAAAAGAAACAGTTTTTCACAGACGATTGAGTATTTCTCATTCAATTAATTCAGTTCTCACTTCTCGAGAAGGCAAAAAATACATAAAAACTCAAAGTATCTATATTAAAAATTACGAAGTAAATCTTAAACACTTATTTGTTTGAAAAAATTCCAGAAAGGATTAAGCATGATTTAATTGGCAATAATAAATGAAGGTGTTATCTTTGTTGTTGTGAAGCTAAGTTTTTCTAGATTGGCAACAAATCCACAAGTCTGTTGTTTCAAATGTAAACAATCAAAGGCCGCCGTCAAAAGAAAGGCTTAGCGGCACTTAAACTACTTTAAAATTGTTGATAATTCTAAAAATATTGCACACAGATTTACTAATGGCATAAAAACCTTAACCGGAAGATAAAACAACATAATTCAATCATTTTTAAAGCAAAAAATGTACAATTTACAAACGTATAAGAGTAAAGAAACTGAGATCACTGAGCCAGGTAACAGAGTGGATATATAACATTCTGAGGCGACTCATTTTTTAGTTATGCGAGATACGTATGTACGTACATACGTTCGTACAGACGCCACGAAAAATTCTCTTCAGAATTAATTTTAAAGCAGTTTTATAATTTTTTTTGGAGGAAACGAGTCTTTTATTCTGTCCTTACGTACAGATATCACGCAAAAAAATCGTTAAATTGCATTCAACAGCTGTCAAAATGGATATTTTCGTTGAAATATGCTGCCTGAAACTTTTCGCGATTACAATACTTTTCTTTTTACTTCGTACAAGGAAATAAAAAAGCTAAGAATGCAGTTTTTCAGAAATGACCCACCTCCACACCCCCCCAAACAGCTAGACATATAATATACAGATAACATTTTGATTTAATATAAAGATCCTGCACCTCCAAATTAGTAGACTGCATAAGATTTGAATGCTCATGTTATAAAAAAAAGACAGAATGCTCTCCATGATATAGGGCTACATGACACACAGACATTTATTTTCCTTCATCTAATTACATTTAGACAGGATTAATACACATAATCAAACAGTTGCAGATATGTTAAATTCAAGATAAAAATTATTATTTTTATTGGAGGTAAGCAAGTTTATACAAGAAAAAATATCTGAAGACAATATGACAATTTAGAATTTAAAAAAAGGAAATGTTTATACTGACAAACAATGCATGCTTCCTGTTACGAGAAATAAACCGAGAATACAAATTAGAATAAAATCTAACAAATAAAATTAACATTGTGAATACAGGATCCGATGTTAATGGGTTATATGGAATATTTTTTAATAGACTGAAAATGAGCTGGCCAGAGAAATTACTTTATTACATTTATTAATCTTTAATGCTTTTAATTTTTTCCAGTAAAGCAATTTAAATCTAACTCAAAAATTTTCATAATGGATTTTTTTTAAAAAAACCTGTAATTCAGAAGATTTAAAAGAAAGGAAAATAGTAAGTAAACTAAACAGCAAATTCACTTTCTCCCCTGACCTGCAAAATCTACAATCAGATAACAAATTGAAGGGAAAAAGATTACATTACTGTGTTAGTCACAATAAATGAGCGAAATATAAAACGAAGTATTTTTTGTGTTAAACACTTTTAATTTTTCCAAATGCATTTGACTATATAAATGGAAAAAAAAGAAATGATGAATAAGATAAAAACTTATTTGAATATTTTTTTTTTAACTACAAACAGTTTCAATGAAAATACAAAAGATTTCTTAATTTAAACAAACATGTGAGGTCCAGCTGCCGAGTTCCATTCCATTTGTGAATAAAAGATCTCCAAATATCAATGAAATTACTGCATGGAAGCTACTAGAAATTGTAGACTGACAGTAAATTATTCATTCTGTCTGAAAAATCTGCCATGAAGATTTTAGTCAAATATATTTTATAGGATAATAAAAAACAACTGGGCAGAGTATGGATGGAAATATTGCATCTAATATTAAAATTTTAAACCTGTTAAGTATAAATCATTCTGACTTCATTACAAAATTTTCCCAGTTACTTATCATGATTAGCAAAGTAGTTGCAAATTGGATTTGCATACATAAGGAAAGATGAGACGTAAAACTGTTGAAAGTGCCAAAGCAGTCTTTTAAATAATTGATTAATTTAAAAGTTTTAGCCATGTCGAAGACAGTGAGTATTCACTGAAGCGCAGCATACAGTGAATATCCTAAAGAATCGAAAAGTTATCAAAAATTGAATTGAAATCCTAATTTTTCTACAAAATGGTACACTTAGGTCAACTGCTTTGTTTGGGGTGGGGAGCCTATACGTTAACCATACAAACTAGAAAAATAATCAGAAGTTAAGATACGGAAACAAATATACAAGTTTTGAAAGCTATGAGGCACATTACTAAATTAATCTGCAATTGATGACAGAAATTTGTTACAAATTTTCCTCGCAACACAATAATAGCTGTCTGTAATTTGCCATGACTTATACCCAACAGATTAGTTTGCAAAATTTATCTTATTTTCCCACAAAACAAACATTAAACATTTCATCAAGAAAAGAATGATGAACTTCTGGTAGATGAGTTACACTGATTATGTTACGTGTACTCCTTTTTAATTTTTATTCCAAAGATTAGTTTAGATATATTAAAAACATTAAAATTAAAGACTGCAAGTTGGATATGCCAAAACTATTTATTGCTCCCCCCCCTTAGGAAAAGTATTTCTTTACAAAGCAGTGAAAGTTTATATTCATAAGGAAATTTCCATCTTTATACCTTATGGTAAGAACTAATATATTAACATATTTGTTTTTTGCTCAGATGGAAAACTTATCTTAGAGTAAAATAATAAAATGCAAAAGAATCATGTAAAGACTTTCATTCAGAAGTTTAAAAAAAAAAAAAAATAAAATAAACAAATATTGTTCAAATTTTGCACATACTCTCAAAGATGTGTTTTTATCAAGGCTGTAAACACATCCCAGACCAAAAGAAGTTGCATTATTTCCTGCAGACCATGCCAGCTGCACTCCAGTTTCTAAATTGGGATTAACTTTTTGATACACAGATCCACCAAACTCTTGACCATCATTTCTGAAATATTTATAAGGCATGCAGGTTAAAAACAATTATATAAGTTAAAAATGTATAATCTAAACTTTAGTAATTTTAAGATATACTGAAAAATGAAACATGCTTTTTAAATACTTACACATTTGTATGCAGAACAAAATCGCTAGTTGCATAGCCAACAGCAAAATTACATTTTTTAATTGTATGTTTGCTAATATCAAAAGCACTCTGGGCTCCAACTAACCAACCATGTAAACTGAAAAATTAAAATATGCATAATATGGCTGCTTGTTTATAATGTTTTATACATAAGACAACCTGCCAAAATAAAGATTCTTTAATTATTCTAATACAATATTCAATATAAATAGAAAATATATATTAAACATTATGGAAAATAGTATGACTTTTTAGTAATTAGCAAAATGCAAGCAATACAATATGAACAGATAATTGACAGATTTCACTGAAAACTTCACCATACTATGGTATCATCAACACAAACATACATGCCATTTGAACTGATTTATATCTAATATAAATTTATTCTATTTAGAAAATAGACTAAACGGATGAGATACACAAGGGTGAAGATACTCTTGAGTTCTCAAATTATCCCTCATTGACACAGTTTTCTAGCTGACAACCCTACTGCAAGAACGAAAATGTTTTAGTAGCATGCCAACCAAAATTGCATTACTAGTGGTCAAACAATAATTATTTTTCTGACCATAAAAATTTTCCAGCAAATTAACCAATTAATAATTTTCAGATGCATTGCAAAGAAATTCCATTATATTTCCATATTAGTCATCTCAATAATAATCATTACCATTTAGGCCAAATTTTTTTCTCACTTCGCTTCTAACAATTAAAACAAACTGCTTGCATATAAATTTTATAATAATATCTACTATTAGAAATTTTACTTTTCATTAAATATCTAATTTCTGAACAGTATATGGACATTAATATCTATTCGGTCATCCCAAAAAATCTTTGGGTTTTTGATGATAAATACAAACAGAGTAGTACAGAAAAATTAGAAAATTTTATTTAATCATAAAAGAATCATTCTGTTTAATGATTTTTTTTTTTTTTTTTTTGGCAGTCTCTCAAGCAACTGGGAAGTCTTTAAAAAAAAAAAAAAAAAAAAAAAAAAAAAAAAACTTGTTTATTTTAAAAGAAATTATTGAGGTTTGACTGTCTTTAAAGAAATGAACAACAGTTTTTTTTTAGAGAATTTTGAAGTGATCTGAAGACCAAAAACAATGAGCTTAAACATAAGAGTCAGGGTGCTATTAGTGCTTGAAAACCATTAGTGTGTTACCAGGACTAGGAACATTTTTATAATCTTCGAAATGGCATATTATGAAGTATGAGAATTGCATGCCTTCATTTCTCAACTGATAATTTTAGAGGTTAGGGTAAATCAGAATGTCTACTTTTAGAAGCATACTTTATTGTTATTATTTTACTTAATGTTGGTAATATCTTACTGTGCATATTTTATCAAACTTAACTGCAATTATGTTTGTTACATAAACATTCTGTTTCATATAATGTCTATTACTGTTTCACATTTCTCACAGGTACTACCATATTTTGTGAACTCCTTAAAAATATTACTACATTTTACATACAATTACTACATTTACTTACCCCAAAACTGTCGAAAGATGAAGTGCAGGAGCCTTAATATCTAAATCAGTTTCAGCATTCAAATGAATGTTTTCAGCTTTAAAAGTACTCTTTAAAACAGCAGATTTTTTCCTATAAAATAACAGTTTGAATTAAATTACACATATCTTCCATATCTACGTTTAAATTACATGCATGTTTACATAAACAACATAAGAATATCAATATTAAATATGGCAAAGATATTTTTATTACAAATAAAATAAAAACTTATTACATAAAAAATTCAGGAAAAAAAGAGGATTTTAAGAAACATAAATTCTTCAAATATGCTGCTTCCAGCTCAGTACAAAATCTCTCATACTCAGTGAGAGAAGCAAAGTTAAAACCAGAAAATCAATTAACTTTATACATTTTTATGAATTCAAGTTTTAGAAATGTATCAAAGAACTGAATCAGAGTTGAAAAAGTGGTAATCATATTTAAAAATCTACTGCCTTTTGTAATTCTTGTTATTGCAAGTAATTGTTATTAATCAGTAAATGTTTCAAAGAAGTTCAAATGAATACAAACCATAGGGCACTGCAAAATCATTTAACAAAGTTAACAGCCAGCTTTAAAAAACAGAACCAATAATAATAAATAAAATAAAAAAAAATATTGATATTCATTAGTTTCTTTATCATAAGAGACTGCTAAAATTTCAAGCATTAAAAACTTATAGGTACTTTTAGGTTGCAGCGCCCAGTGTGAAAGAAAATCACCATGATTAATCATCAACTGAAAATGAACCCTACTTAATACCTTATGTACTTGTACCTTGTGTATACACACACCATTGATAAACTGAAGGCGTGTAATGATAATCATATCGCAATTCTTTTATACCAGAAATGTACTATCAATTTTTGATTTATTAAGAAGTAAGAAAAAGGCAGTATTCTTTGAAGAAAAGGTATACCTCATAATAGAATATACTAAAATGGTAAAAAAAATGCATATTAGTGATGATAGCATTTGAAGATAAAACATTAACAGTTGCAATAAGAAGAAAGGCATCCAGATGTGAAACCGTATGCAAGAAATAAATGTAATTTTATTATATTTTACTTTTTCCTTTTTCCACTTGACGAGTTTCTTCCCCTGTAGCTGCTATAATAAAAAGTACTAACTTGAAAAAAATTAACATAGAAAATAAAATTTTACCATATGGTGCAAACAATACAAATAATGTAAAAATGAGAAGGTAAGGCAAAAGTTATGTTCACACAAAGATACAGAAAGAAAGGGTAAAAAAAAATTCTAGGCATTAAATGCTACACTTTTATTGTTCACAGCAGTATATAAAATGTACTGATCAAATGCCTCTTCTTACTGTTATTTATATAAAAAAATCAATTAAAATATAATCACTTCATTTTTTTACAGCAAGAAAAAGTAAAAGAATTTGAGTTTGCAGATCTTGAGCAACCCCTCTTTTTTCACATGAGACTAAGATTTTTATGTTACTATCCCCATATAGTATTCTTTTAAATGGGGTAGAACAAAAATCATTTCTTTTCAGTTTCTGCTCTTGAGATTTTTGAGAATATATTCTATACAGTCAAAGTCTTTAATCCGGACCTCAAAGGTACAATTTTTCTGCACATGCGTAAACGCGTTTACATGTGCACATAACACATTTACGCATGTGCGTGTAATATATAATGGACGGTATAAGCTAAGCAAAAATTATCTAATTATATGTTGCATATTGCGTTGTTCCTTAATCTTCTAATTGGATCTGGCTTATTATTTTTTGCAGACTGTTAGAGCAATTTTATAAAAGTAAGCTTGAACTTTCGATTATGTCAAAAAGAATTTCCGGTCGCGTCGCGCAATGAACTGGAAGTTGACCTGTCAGCACTATCCTTATCTTCAGGGCAGATGTTTTTATTTTATTCGGCTTATAATTCCTTACTAAATGTAGTATTTCATCTTGATGTACTCCATCTTTGATATGATTTAAATCAAATTCCTCATTATTATAAATATCACGAATACATATCAAATAGTTTTCTGGTTGCAATTTTCTAATTTCGACTATGCGTAATGTACGCTTTACGCATGTGCACGTTGAAAGAAATGTTTAATAAAGTAAACAAATAAATATTAAGTTTTTTTTTTTTTTTTGTAAATTTTGATACCATTTAGATCATAATTGCTATTTATTTCATAAATTAAGGTTTCATATTTTTAATTTTATAATTTATGCATGCCATCTTACCAGATTTAAATTGATGATCTATAATATGGTATCGCCGAAGTCCCGACGAGTCCAGATTAAAGACTTTTGACTGTATAAATATAGGCAGATGTTCCTAGAAATTTTCAAACTGAACTTTAAATTCAGTTACAGAAGTTGTTTTGAAGTACAAAAGACTGAGTGAAATACTTAAATTTCCTGAACTAATAAAAATATGATTTTTCATAGAAAATTCGAAAAATATAAACGGTGCAGTTAAAAGTGCATACATATTCATTTAGTAATAAACCTTTGGTACTTATGTATGAATGCAACCACCTTAGTAGAAGTCGCCAAATTTTGCAAATGTGCTAAATTCTGACAACCATGCACAAAACCATTCTTCTGGCAACCATGCTCATAACAATCCTTTGCCGTCATTTTTGTTTGTGTTACTTATTGTTTAATTCCAAATTCCATTATTATAAACAAGTTGTGATATTTTTTTCCTTAGTTTTAAAATATAAATTTTTGGGATTTGAAAGCAATGGAAGAAACTGCAATACATTTCAGCAAGAATACAGAATTTTGCAGAAAACTTTCTAAAGAAACAAGAAAAGTAATTTCCTTGATAGCTGTTGTCACTGAGAGTTGCATGAAGCCAAGTCTTCACAATTCTCTGACCATTTTTTAAAGCGAAACTAGATTGCTAATTACTTTGGGAGAACGGCAGTCCAAAAAAATTAAAGAAAGAATTGAAGAATGTGTTTTGTTTTTAAAATGTATCATGTAATCCTTATTTAAAAATTCAGATTCATATTTTAAATTGTTAAACTATGTTTTCTTTTCCTACGCTAATAATATTTACAGAGTAAATATCAATAGTTTGGGAATCCCCCCCTTTTTTTTTAAACACGAAAACCACCAACTTGCACTCGATAAGTAACTTTTACATCTAAGAAATCACCAAATTGTGCCAAGGTGGTTGCATTAATATATAAGTACCAAACCTTCTTTTGAAAGGTTCAACAGTTTTGCTTAATTGCAGCCTCGCCCCTTTCCCAAGAAATTTGACAACACTATCAATATTATGCCATTCTTTTCGCAGACTGTTTTTATTTCTGTAATAAATATGCAACAGTAAAATTTGGTACTTTTGAGTAAGTCTTAATAATGACAATGGTTACTGTACAGATTGTCTTATAGCCAATCTAGAAGTAGATATGCCACCACCCCACTGACTGTTTAATTCAATCCAAATATTTAAATGTAATTTAGTAAAATCCAAAATTTCATATATTTAATAACCAGAAAAATTAACACTCTAGTATCAATATTTTTGTAGCACAACAATCACACATGAACAGATGTTTATCATCCCATCGACCACGAAGCTATTAAGAAGCATGATTTTATGCCAGATATAGATAAGTATGATATTGCAGTACACTCATAACCTCTATGTTTTTGTTTGGTTTAACCCCGACTGATTCTCGGGTAAGCCAGCTTCTGTTTTTATGAACAAGAATTAAGTGTTACTGCTGTATTTTTTTATTTTGAAAAATATGATTAAAATTTGATGTCTGCCTTCTACAGAGCAGTAAGCTAGTTGGTTATTTTCAAAGTTTAGGAATCCTTCAATCAAAAACAGTGTATATTAATGGACGTGATATAGTCAGCTGAATATGGCTAACAAAACGATCATAGGCTGAAATAGTTACCAGCAAAAAATTTGTATTCGTGGCATTTTACACAGAACTTCCTGTAAAATCGAAGGGCCTACCAAAATAGCAGAAATTGACTAAATCCTTTTTGCAAAGCGGGTGGAATACTGATACTGTTTATTAACTTAAGAGGCCTTCAAAATTCCACAGTAGCTACTGAAACAACCTCCACCAGGATCCTTCCAGGCAGGATCTCCTCCAATTTCCGTGGTTTGATGGTAACCAACTGGCACAGACGACAGAATAATATACAAATACTAAAAAGTTAAGTGGTAATGAACATGTTATAGTTCCAGTTGACAGAATAATAAATAAATACTAAAAAGTGAGTGGTAATGAACATGGTATGATCACCTGAATATGGCTGACAAAACAGTTATAGACTGGAACAATTACCTGCAAAAAGTTTACAGCATTCTTAACTTTTCGTAAACTCAGAGGGCCTAACAAAATGGTAGAAATTGATGAAACCCTTTTTCAAAGTGTAAAAGTTAATAGAGATCTTATTGTTTATTAAAAAAAGAGGCATCAGTTCTGCAAGAATGACTGACATAACTTTAATGGGATCTCTGCCAGCTTTCATGGTTCAACAGTAGACAATTTTCACAACAGAAAGGATAATACGTGTTTTTTTTTTTTTTTTTTTTTTTTTTCTCCCACACTTTTATGAGTTTTGGGGAAAAGTTTTTTAGATACAGTTCAGATTTTTTGTAATAATTTTGATACTAATAATGTATTTTTTCTGGTTATTTCATTTTCTTGACTTCTTGGTGAACAGGAATATTTTAAATGTACTTTTTTAAAAATCTTTAAACAGTTTATTAATAACAGTTAACTATCTTTCAAATAACTTTTCCCACACTATGAAGGTGTCAAATAAGAAGGTATTTTATGTAATTAGCGCAACCACCTTTAACAGAAGATGCCAAACTCTGGCAACCATGTGCATAACAATTCTTCAATTCGCAACATAAAATGTTGCCAGTTTTGTACTAATTCCAAATTTAAATGGTTTTTAAACTTTGCATTTAAAATATATACTTGTAGGATTTGCCTTCAACAGATGAAATGTGGCTAAATTTCTGCAAAAATCAATCACTTTCAAAATAAGTGAAAACATTTGCTTTTAATCTGTTAAGTTGTCTGCAATGAAATTTCCACCAAAATAAAAGAAACAAATATCATTTGTAAGTAAATTATCGATTTCCGAAATAAATACCTAATTAAAACAAAATTTGCATGTAATAAGTAATTTTTTGCAATTATAAGTCAGCAATCTTCTGCAAACACTTGCCGAAATGATTACATTGAATATGTAAATACTGATAAGAATGATTCCTCTGCCTCGAAGTATCCTAGAGAAGCAACATGTGGTACTGAAGCAGGTTGTTTTAATGTAAGGAAATTTTACTTTAATATTTGCCCCAATATACGGTGCACTAATTTAGCAAAGCCTAATAAGTGCATTAACATATGGAATAAAGTATTAAATAGCATACTTACCCAGTCTGTGGCACAAAGTTAGTATCAAGAGTAAATTTTGATCCTTTTACTGGTTTATCTTCCAATGTGATTTCAGTTGACAGAATATTATCTGTATTCCATTTTTCTTTAAAAGTTAAGCCTGAAATGTTCATGCATTCAATGAAAAATAACTGCCACAATATTAGGATGTAATATTTATTAATAACTTATAACACTGCAAAAGATTAATTTTCCACCAATCAAAGTATAACTCATAAATCTGAGTTTAAAATTAACATGCTCACTGTACAGATATATTGATAATATGTTTTCATGTATGGAAGAAGTCAAAGAATCGATTGAGAAATGATAAGTGAAGAACTGTTTGATTTTATAACACCAGCTAACAGTGAAAGCAGTAATAATAAAGACTAAGCATCTTTAAAGTTAAACAAATTGTTACAAAAGCCACACAGGAAATCTCAGACTTTGCAATGGAGGTTGGTCCAAATGGACACTTTATGAGAGGCACTGAAAACGTGTGCTTCTTACTGCGAAACTTTAAAGAGTTGAGTCAGTCATTGTACAGAGCAAAAATCTTTCTTAATATTTGTGTCATGCACTTACTAATCATCTAAGTGGCATGACAGTCTTTATCTGGTCATGAGATTTTTTGCCACTAGGTATATTATTAACCTATAATGTAAAGTATTTTGCTTTCTTTCTCTCTATAATGATGTAAGTACCTTAATGAATAGAACTTTATGAAAACAGGGACTAAAATTAGAAATTTTACAAATTTAGTTGATAAATGATGTTTAAATACAGGTCTTTATGAGCAGCAAGAAGCTCTGCCACTCAGAGGGTTATGAAGTAACAAAAATTATTTCAACTGACATATGTTTAATTTTTTTCCCTTCCAATTACAAGAATATTTAGGTCTATTTAAATTATATATACTTTCTCAACCTGAATTATATTTAACACATTTTTGCTACAGAATATTAACTCAGAGGAAAGCACTTTTGCTGTACATGTAATGATGGCACTGTACAATTACAATAAACACAACTTATCAAATTACAGACTGTATGACTTACACAAAAATTCATTTAGTTCGATATTATGTCATAAAATGAAAATGTAGAGTTTGCATCTAAACAATCTTTTTGATTAAATTGAAGAATCTTTAATTTAATCAAAAAGAAGGAATAAACTAATGTTTTATTTAAGATTTAAAAAGAAACAGTCGCTACATATAAAAAAGACAGGAAGATGCAACATAAATATTTTTTAAACTCTTAAGAAAAAGTAAATCATAGGATTTTAAAAGCTTGCAACGAAAGTTTTCTGTCAAAAAAAGTTCTTAATAAAGTTAAAGGGGGCAAAAAACCATTGAAACAGTTCCTATGGTGTGCATAATAATCGCCCCCCCCCCAATTTAGGATTTTCTGCCAATGTTTTGGTCATTTTTAAAAGATTCCGCCCAGAAACATCATGACTGCAAGTCCAAAAACAGATCATACTCATTTCAGATGTCCTGTGCAGGATAGAAGACGGTACCAGTAAAATGTAGCTGCAGGCACAAAAGACAGTAGAAGACTGAAACAGCGATGTCTGGACTATTTGGTGGGCGTGAAAAAAGATTCCATTTGAGTCCAGCCGGTGAATACAGACACATGTGGTCTTGCGTTATCTTAATGGAACATAACCTTTCTGCGCTGGAACTAAGTTCGACATTTTCCCTTGATAACAGCATCAAATACAGACTAACATCTCGCTGTACACTTACTGTAGAGGGTTTTACCTTCTTCCAGATACTCATTGTAGATATTATAACAACAATCCCACCAGATAAAAAGCATGATCGTTTTGTTAGACAAATTGTGCTTTGCAACGCTGCTGACGAGCTCATCAGACACAGACCAATCCCCTTTTTGGTTTGTGTTGTTGAAGTAGATGATCCGGTCCATAATTTTGTCGTTGCATTGATATTTGAGAAGATTAATGCAGGCCCAAACACATCTGTTCCAATTTGCTTGAGTCAGCTCATGCAGCACCCAGCGATTGAACTTGTACACTACACACATACACACAAAAAAAGGGGGCAGTTCTACATCTTCTGTTCTACTGGGCTGACTGACAAAATTCAACTTCTGTTTTTCATGTCTCAAAATCGCAACTTAAGATATGTATTAGATTTACATATATTATTATTCTAATATATGTCTTTTGACATAAAACTCAACTTTTACTGAAATGACCTGCCAATGTTTTTTCCATATTTCGATTCTACGATTCAAATTATGTCAAACTACCACATTTTTGTAAAAATTGCACTAGTAGTTTTTAAAAAATTAGCTTTCAAAATTTTAGCACCTTAGTGTTAATTGAATTTGATATACATTTATTAATCTCTTTTTTTTTTTTTTTTTTTTTTTTTATTTTATTATTATTATTATTAAACTTACTTGATTCCTTCTTCCCAGAATTTGAAATTTAGGCTTAATACAAATATAATTTGCACATGTTTTACGATTCCTTTTTAAAATTTGTATTTTTAAATATTTTTTAAAACATATTTGTATTAAAACCAATATAATTTTTAACATCATATTACAGCAGATGTATTTCTAGGCACACTTGCAAAAAATTAAGAGTTTTATTATTTAGAGTTTTCTACGATATACATGAATTTACACATTGGCACATTTTGAATTTTTGGCATTTTTTTGCGCAATAATAACGCCATATGTGGTTTATGCACTTTGTTAAATATAACAGAAAGTACGAACAATGACTTTTTTCTCGCTTGTCTACAATGAAAAAAAAAAGGAATAGACAACAGGTTGCTATAAATTAAGGAGTTCAGCAAGCAAATTATTCTTAGTGCAAACTGAAAAAAAAAAAAAAAAATCCGCCAAGATAAATTTTTCAATTTCTCCGTAAATTACTCACCCAATTTTACAAAATGATAGTTCTAATCTGGTAGCGTGATAGTTCTATTTCAGACACCTTGTACTTGATAACAATATTTTTTTACAAATTTCACAACCCAGTGTTCTAAAGCAAATCTCTTCCAAAAATCATTCGACAAAATATGATTAAAAAAGCCAATGCAAAATGTTTGCACAGACGATATTTGCGGTTGCAGGAAGCTTTCATTAAAACACGATATTAAATACTACAAAGAAAATTATATATTATGCGATATTAACAGATTTGGTACTTCTTTGTTATAGCAGCCCTCGAGACTGAATCACCAATGAACCAAGATATCTCATCAAAATTTGACTGTGTGTTTTTATACCCCGTCATGAGATGTATATTAGCACAGTGTTGCATTTTTGCTCTCATCGTGTGTTCTAATATTATTGATTTTGATGAGGTTTCCGAATTTCCAATGTTTATTTAAAAATATATTCATTGCTCTTTTCTTTTCTTTTTTTTGTAAATATTACATAGAGATGGACCCATGAGAAGGGGGAACACATATCAGGGTTGCCACTCAAACAGGAGAATGGAATTCCCTGACTTTTCCAGGTATGTTTCGAGAAAATTCCAGTCTATCCGCGTAATGTACGTTGGCTGTGCTAAGAGGTAAATTAATTATGGTATTACTTGTACTGTGTAGCAAATTCACTTAATTATTCAATAAATCTCAGAGGACATTTATTCTTAATTATTCTTGGTACACTTTGTTTGATAATTTTGTTTACTTTTCCACTTAAGAAACTTAATAAAATTTAAGATATATACATTGGATAACAATTGTACGTTTTATTTAATTATTACTCATGATCATCACCAGTTCAACATGAGGCTAATCCGGTTCTTATAAATCACAACGCAATGCTAAAAGTTAGGTTAGATTTTAGGTAAATTTAATTTGTGTGAGGTGTCTTCTTAAAAGGCACCTTAACACTTGAAAACACAAATATAATTATAATAGGAGTTGTTTTCTCCACTGAAGATTGAGATTAGAATCTTCCCAATCTGGAATAAAATAAGGCTTTTTTTGCAGACATTCTGCAGCTAAATGAAAGAAAAAAATCTATTTAATGATATTTTTTTTACTAAATTGAGGTATTTTATATTTATTTCGCAGCATACATTAGGAAAAAATATGTGCATTAAATTTCGTGATGTCATCATACTGCTAGAATTAATTTCAGGATTATGGCAGAGAAAATTTCTTGAAATTTGGAAATATTATTTACTAATGATAAATAAATTTAGAGGGAAGAAGCAACATTAAATGATATGAATAACATAAAAATAAAGATAATTGCTTAAAAATTGAATTAGAATAATCAAACGAATATTTTCGCGAAATATAGTTATATTACATGGTTAGGCCTAGATGACTGATTACTATTTTTTATTTTACTGCAAAATGACAAGGTATTTATTAAAAAGAAAAGAAAAAAAAAAAAAAAAAAAAAAGATTTTGCGGTAAAATCCTAGTATACGGTACGGCCTTCGCACGATTTTGAAAATTGTCGCCAAGAACAAAATGACTCGTTTACTGCTCATCATCATGTCGCCAAATTCCGCTGTACCATACATAGAGATTATTCTAACCAAAGAACGTCTATGTAAAGAAGAAAAGGTTCCATACACGTAAATGCTATTACGCGGCTAGAAAGCTGAGGGAAAATTTGCCAAGGGATTTGGCGACGGAACCTGGAGGCCAGAATTTCCCTCTCCGCGATGTGTACAGGAAATTGAGAAACACGTGTTAAGAAGAAACGTTCTTTGACAAAAAAGAAAACTACGAAAATCCATTTTTAAATTATTGCAAAAAATCCTAGAAGAAATGTTTTATCAAAGAACGTTTTTTCTTGGATTTTCGCAATAACTTTAAAAACGGATTTTCGTAGTTTTTTTTCCCCCTCAAAATAACTAATCCATGAATTAATTTACTTGCACCAAGAGATATTTTCTTTTCCTTTAGATTAGAGTTTAAAGAAATTTTAAACGATATTCATTTTATGAATTCTTGATAACGTGACCTTCGAACTTCGACACCGGTTTCGAGCTTTGGCGACATATATATCGCGCACGCACAGTTGTTTCTCTCTATGATGGAACGGAGCCACGTTTGTTGCAGAGAGGTTTTCTTTCTTTACAATACATATTTTTGATTCTAACCTTCATTATACCGTATACTAGGATTAAACCCATTTTGTTTTATACGAGAACAGGTACTTTCTTTTGTTCATGCACTGCACATGGGATTCTCGAGGTTACTGGAAACCAAAAGTTGCGGGAAACTTGATTTGCCTTTCTAAAAGACAATCAAATTGGAGCTGAATTGACTCTATGCCAGCTGCCCGAATGACACTCACGTGATACACAATTCGCCAAAAAAGTTCTTCCGACAACGGCGCAAAACTCGCCTTTTTTGGCGGGATCGTTGTATGAAATTCCCTGACTTTTCCAGATTTTGACTAAAACACTTAAACTCCCTGACTTTTCCCTGAATTTTTTGGTCAATTTCCGAATTCCCTGACTTTTTCCGGTTTTCCAGGTAGCGTGGCAACCCTGACATATATATATATATTTAACCTGTAGAAGGAAATCAAACACATACCCTCAGTTTCAGGCTAGCAGTCAGCTTTCATTAACAACCATAGCAACTATTTCAGGGTGTTAGATTATGTATATAAAATAAAGATTTCACTTCATAGAATCGTAATTTTGTTATATCTATGAATAAGTTAACTGTGCATTCTAAATTCAGAACTCAAACTACTTTTTAATACCAGTACGTACGGTGAGATGACAATCTTTACCATACAATGAGGTGGATGCTATATCACTTTTTCAAGAAAGAGGTCTTTTACCTTATAAACGAGTATGCAAAAATGACCACAACATGAAACTTTAATGTTAACGTGTGTGGTGTATTTACGGCAAAGCACACTAGGGCTATCTGCCTAAGGGAGGGATGCCTTTCGTGGAGGACTTTCTAAGGGAAACTGGCTCGTATACACGTTACACATGGGGAAAACCACGAAAACCACCCATGCAGCCAGCCCGTTCGCGGGATTCGAACCTCAGACCGAACTACCAGTGTTCAGCGACTTTACCGCTCGGCCGCTGGTGGGCTTAATGTTAACGATGAAACCATTTGGAAGTGCAATGTTAAAAATTGCAAAAGGAAGAGCGAACTCTGTATTGGAAATTGGTTCACTGGTTCCAGAATATTGTTTATCACTGCTGTTAGATTTATGTATTTTTGGGCAGAGGAGTTGAAGTCCATAAAATGGTGTAACAAACAGCTTAATATGTGTGAAAGTGCTGCAATTGACTGGAACAATTATATGTGATAAAATAATAATAATAAGGATAAAGATCCTTAAAAATATTCTTAGGAAACAACATATGAGTGTTATTATTATAATATATATTATGTTTATTTTTACATTCATGCTTCATGAGCTTGGCGAAATTATAGCCGAGATCTTGGCACAAATCTAAAATCGACAAATATGGTCGGAGGCCACTACAACAAAGAAGTACCACAGATTTTTTTTAAATATATTGTTGACTAAAGCAAAAAAACTGCTTCCACACAGTCATAAAGGTATTAAAAAAGGGATTAAAGAAACAATCTTTAAAGTTTGTCACAATGCATTTTTCTATTAAATTTATGAATATCATCAGTTTTATCCCAAATGTTTATTTTCTTTGTATTATTTATTAAAGTTTGTTTAAAACTGGCAATTTTTGATCAGAATATATTTTACTAGAACTTCACTGCAAAACAGTAAGAATTGGAAAATATTCTACCCATTTTTTCTTAGCCAAAAGGTATCTTTAAATTTTACACCTTTTGGAAGACATCTCCCCCCCCTCCTAAACTTCATGAGAATTTTGATATACATGTAAGTATGAATTTAGTAAGATACGTATCAGCAACAATTCAGAAGAAAAGGGAAATTCAAGACTTGTTTTTAACTAAAAACATAATAAACAAGCTCTTAACTATTAAATATAATAATTTTAAAAAAAAAAAAAAAAAAATTAATCTGCACATAAAGGAGGCCAAATATATAAAAGTAACCTGTCTATCCCTTAAAAAATATTTAGATAGAAGAGAGAAGAATAGTTAAGGCTTGAGTATTGTTTTCTGCATTTAAATACATAATTATAAATTTGGCAACATTTCTGATTTAGCTTACTTATAGTTCATCTAAATGTTTTCGGATGTATTAAGTATTATACATGTAATACTAAAAATAAATTGTACCATGTTCAGGAACCTTGTATTTAGATTCGAGTGAAGAAGTTACTCTTCCACTTTCAGTGTTTGAGGAACCAGAGACACAAAACTCCATGCCTCCAGAAGTTTTAGTTTTACAGTCCAATTTCACAAGATTAAAATCTGAAAAGAGATTATATGTTAATTTATAAGAATACCCACTCAGTAAATTAAGTAACATTTATTTCTCAAAATATACTATGAATTAAAAATTCAGTTCAAACAATAATCAATAGTGCAATTTCTTTAACTTATGATACTACATTTTAATGGCAATATAACCATAGAAAAATACATGTTTTTTATTTAATAAATTTTACAATTTCATAAACCTTTTCATTGCAAAAATTTCTTATCGTATCATACCTCACCAAAATAGCAGCATGAAAAAGTTAATATATTCAAGATGTCAGAGTTATGTTTAAGAAACACAAATTTATTTACTTTTATTATTTGCAATAGATATTTTCTTTCTAACCTCCTAAGTAGTTCAGAAGGCTTCATAAAATGATATCTTGCTTTTCAACATAACAGAAAATGCTACTGCCTCATAATAACTAAATACTGTAAAAGCTTGATAAATTTTTAAATAATTTTTTAAATCTCAAAAGATTTAGTTTTTAAAATACCACGCAAATTCAGTTTCATTGCTAGTCACAAAGATAATGAGATTTTTTGATGATGCTGATTTCTACAAACAAATCAATTCCAACAGCCTTATAAAAGACACTTTTCTTGAACAGTCCTTCACAACTCTCTAAAATTAGTTTTTCAGATTTTAAAACATTAATCTTACAAGTATTTTACACCGATATCAATATGAAGAAATATGTTTTGGATAACTGATTACAGTAACACATATAACAAATTATATCCTAAGCACAATGATTCTTAAAAATTTTAGCCTTCTTTTATATGATATACATTTTGAAACCATTCATATTCACACAGTACTTTCATAAGATTTTTTTTTTATAATTAAATAAATCAATGTTTACAAAATCGCAACTTTTAGTTTATAATCAAATAGATTTGTGAACTCCTGATTATTAATTTGTCCACCTTCATGAGCCAAAGCCACCTAGATGGTATAGCGTTTAGGGAAGCCTGACTGCGATACCAACAGACCTGGATTCGAATCCCGGAGAAGGCATGGATGTAAAAATTTTGTGTCCTTTCATAGGAGGCAAAGGTGGCCCACCTGTTGGGTGCCTCCATAATAAAGAGACCACCACATCTAGCCTTAAGAGTGGCCAATGCTGGCATAGGCAAGTGCCCACCAGTGGCTAAAAAAAATTCTTCATAAGCTAATGGACTGCAGTGTAAGAAATGCTGTCTTAGAGCAACTTTCTGCAAAAAAAACTAGTTTACACGTATTATGCATGGATGATATTATAAAAGGATCCATACAAAGAAATATAATGAAGTGGGAGCTCACCTTGCTTCAATTTAGGTCCCTTTAGCTTAAGACATGGAATATATTTACTACATAATAAAAATGACTGGGGACTGAGCTTGTGCAACTATGAATCTACTTTTGCCAGGGGGAGGGGAAGAACCATGCCAGATTTTAATATCTGAGATAAAAATCAAACTAGCTCCCCTTCCATAAAATAATTAATCATTTTCACATTAACATGCATTGCATTTTAATGCTTCTTCTCCAGTTTTCTACTTGTATGCAGAACAAAGAAAATGCTCATTTACCACAGCTCCAGATGTAAGTAATGCATTCTTGACCATAAGAAAATGCAAGTGATGTTACAAAAATTTTACCGACCATGACGCTTTTACTTCTACTTTTTAAAATATTTTCAATCGACCATCATAAAGCAAATACTTATACAAAAAGACAACTTTCCTTTACAATAATAAATATTACTTTCCCATTATGCACCTGCCACCCATTTTGAAGGGTTTTTTAATTATAAGAATAGGTTACAGAGACACACTCAGTGATAAAACAGAAAACACTAGTCTATGTGTGTTTTGCCTTCTCACAGATGCCAAAAAGCATGGCAGGTTCACAATGGAAAAGTATCTAATATTTCACAATATGCTCCTCGTTTATTAGCCATACTTAATTGGACAACTGAATGTGATCAATATGCGAAAACCTCGTCACACTGAAATATATGTGAACATAAATTTAAATGATCTAGTTTGAATGGGCTGAACGTAATTGCAGTAATGACTGGTGGTTCCAAATGATTTTTGTTTCTATAGAGCAATTTAGAAAGGTGATGTTCAATACTAATGCTTGTTTATGTTTCAGAAATATAACTAACTTTCAGAGGTAATCACCACAAAAGACATTAAACAATCATCAAAATTAATTACCCTTAAGCAAGTGATTTTCATAATTATGAACAATAACGTTGCCTTCACTTAGATCAAGTTTTGCAAGAAATTCAGTTACAAAATTAAAGAAAAATGTTTTAACAGGGTTCATAGCCGCATTTTAGTTAAAAAAATAAGCACCTATAAGCACTTTTCAAGCACATTTTAAGAAAAAAAATAAGCACCTGTCTAATTACATTATACACAAATGCATAACCTTAAAAATTAGACTTTTAATTTAAAATATGAGAAATGCAGTATTTATTAAGAGAGGATAAGCATTACCTCAACTATGAAAAATAATTACTTTTTTTTTTTTTTAAATTTAAATAACAGTTTGTTCAATTTACAGAACTAGTTTACAATGAGAGGAAAAAAAAAAAACTATGCAGAACTAAACTATATTACAGATTTAATGATGAAATTTCAGTTCAAAATAGAGAAATAAATAATAATAAGGCATATTTATTGTATTCACTTGGAACCTAATAATAAATACAATTTATTTTTCCACTCATATTGATATTTAAATCTAAATTCTGAACATTTTCTAAATTTTCATTGTATATCAGTTTTCCCTTAACAGATATTGCAAGCAAAGTAATTTAAGTAAAAAAAGAGGAACATTTCTGAAATCAGAAGACAGAAATTTGCTTCATGCAGTCATTCTTTAACAGTAAAAGCTTAACTAACCCGCATACTTGGAAATTGGCGAATATTCGGACAGTCAAGCGTAACTTGAAAAAGAGGAGCGGAGGGGGTGGTAGACTGTAGCCGCTCTTTAAATTTTTCTGCTAAATAAAGGCTTTTGACATTTCGATATGCGCATCATATAAAAATAAACCAATGGAACTGAAAAACATTCTGCTTAGCAAGCACAGTAAAACTCTTAAGTGTTCATAAACAAATGTCGGACAGAACATCAAAATTAATTATCTCTGCAAAATATCGCAAACGTTATTGCGCAATACGTGCGCCGTAATTCTTCCCTACGTGATATGACGCAATCGGAACCAACAGCTGCCGGTATTGGGAGAATAAAGAACTAAATAACTGGGGTGTTTTTCATTCTAATTTTCAACAGACGGCATTAAATTTCTGGAATAGAATCATTCTTCGCTTGGGTTGGTAGACCGCAGAACTTTTAGTCCTATTCAATCCAGATTGGAAAGTGGGGAAAAAAAAAAAGTCCGTTGCTTGTTTTGCAGCGAACTGTAACAGTTTCAATATTTGAGATTTTGCGGAGAAAGGGGAGAACCTGCCAATCTTCGTACTGTATAATGTATTGGCCAAAAAAACAAAATTATTTTGACTATTCGATTACTTTCCCTTTATTTAAGCCATTCCGAATATTATTCCTTAGAAAGCTAATCTCTGTTAAAACACAACCATTTTTGAAAGTTTACTATACTTCAGTTACTGCAACTATGTTATTATAAACATTCATACATATGCTCATAATATAAGCATAACGATCATAATAAACACGAATATGAACTGACCAAGCAGAAGAAGAATGCAAATTATTAAAATCTTGATAGAAATTCAAACATGTGTAATATTTGGGTGGGAGGAAAAGAATGCTGAATGTACCGAATTTTCTACTGCTTTCGCATTTCTTTGACCAATAGAATGACGGGCACCTGTCTGTACTCTTCGTGCACACCAAAGGTTACGTTAAAGCAGAGAAAGGAGAAAAGCTATTTCCGGGAGTATGATTCACCATCTGACATTCCATATTAGGAAGAAAAGTTGTTTATTTAGTTTCGGCTTTGGTACCGGGAAAAATTGCACGTTCATAAAAAAAAAAAAAAAAAAAAAAAAAAAAAAAAAAGAAGCACTAAAAGCAAAAAATAAGCACTTAAAAAAAAAAAAAAAAAGGGCTTTAAAGAAAAAGTATGCACCTATAAGGGCTTCTAAATTTTATTTTCAAATATAAGGACTTATAAGCAATTATAAGGACCGCTACGAACCCTGTTTAATGAAATCAATTCTGTCATGAATGCAATGACTGTGGATGTACAAGGTGGTTATTAATAATTTGCATTAAGGTATAATTTATCATAAATTTGCAGATATTTGGAAGCACCAGGCATTCTTATCAATTTGCCTTTAAATAAGCTTCCATTCTAATGCAGGAATGTGTAATGATTATGATTGTATGACTAGGTCAGTGTCAATTTTTGGCACATGGATCGCTGTGCTATCACCATATATGGTAGGAACATTATATGAATGATGTTCAAATAACTGCCAAAACAGCAAACTTGATAATTTCAGATGACTTCAAATTAAGTATATATTAGCTTTTACTATTTTTATAAAAATTAAAAAATGCAATAAGCATTTTTCATACCAGTGCCTTAGACATACCCATACTTAAGAACTACACAAAATATGTGCTAAATAAAATTTATCATACAATTCAGTAATTAAAAACTATTCAAAATAAATCAAAATGTAGGTATTCACAATTACTCTAATACATGAGTATGAAATTTCATTTATAGGATTATTTGAAATTTATTACTTATGAAGTTCAATTTTTGGACTTTGTGAAAAATTGATTCTAAATTTCTTACTTTATGTCTTTAAATACAATTATGATATTTAAAATTAATTCCAATTATACAAGAACTGGAAATTTTTCTTTTAATACCCCGATATGAAGAAATGGAAAACAAATTTGTTAATAAGTACTGTGATGTTATTGCACATCCCAAATAATCAAGTGAATATGTACCATAAAAAATTGTTTTATTTAAATTTACAATTATACACAGAAATGCACATGACATTTTCAATAATTTTCATTGCTAATATTATATCCGATTTTAAAATGGCTGTAAAAAATCAGTTTCTACTAAATCTCAAATTTTCTTTCATTACAACTCTCTCCAGATTTATAAAATATAAGCATCAAGTGCGACTTTAAACTTTTGTGCTAAAAGAATTCACTATTCCTTATGATACAAATGATTAATCACAAAATCATTGGACTCCCACCCAAAATTACCAATTTTTTAAAAATCTTTAATAACATTCTAAAAGCTTTTATTAAAATATGAACTGCTTAAAAACAGACATAAATATCTCTGGCTTTTAATCACTATAATGTAATTAAACACATAATATTCATAAACACCAATATGTAAAAACTTACGATAATTCTTGTTGAAAATGTCCCGGGCTTGTTTGCCCATATCTCCATAGCTAGGAGGAGCCATGATGATGAATAAGTTTATAACTTTAAATCTGCAAATATAATAAATTATTAATTTCATTTTAAAAATAATTGAATTGACATAGCTATAAAAAAAAAGGTACAACTCTAATATATGCCCTAATTTCACCAAATGTGGCGATATGTGTTCTGCGCTGGTTTTTGGCGCGATTGCGTGTTCTATGGCAACCCTTTTGACGTTGAAAAATCTTTCGCTGGAGCTCGTTGGTTCTCCTCTGTGTCTGAGAAGATGGGAGGGGAAAGATAAATGGTGGAAGTTGTTGAATTGAAGTTCGGCAAAAGGAAATATGATTGTGGCTATCCTGTTGAGGGGTAGTGGGTACTTGGAAGTGTGGAAAGAGGGTCTGGGAGATTATTTTCAATGGCAGTGCATGATAGAAGTAGGGATTTGTGATTTTATTTATTTGTGAACTATATAAATTTTCTGGATAGTGTGTCTGGCTGTCATGTAAACACGATAGTGATTACGTGGCGGCATGTTAAAGGCGGTATGAAAATTATATTTCTGCTATTCGAAAACGCATTAATTCTTGGTAAGTGCATTTTATTTTATCCTTGTTCTTATTTTGTAGAATGTTATGTCATTGGTTCTTTAGTATGAATTTCTGTCGTTATTGTTGTTTTTTTAAATTGTTTGAAATTTATTTTAGTTTTGTTGTTTAGTGTCTAGACTGTACAATTCGTAGACGTTTTTTAAAGTTGAAACAGAACGCTGTGTACATGGTATTATTTGAAATTTATTGTTGTTATATTATTTTATTAAAGCGAGGAGTGCGTAGATCGTAGATTCCTTCCTTGCCTAAATTGTGCAATTCGTAGAATTTTTTTCAAGTTTAAACAGGATGCTGTGTACATGGTATTTGAAATTTATTGTTGTTATGTTAATTTATTAAAGCGAGGTGTGCGTAGATTGTAGATTCGTTCGTTGCCTACATTGTGCAATTCATAGATGTTTTTTAAAGTTAAAACATGTCGCTGTGTACATGGATTCTTGTCAAATATTTTTGGTTGGAAACTTTACGTTTTTGCTATCTAAATTTTTTGTTTTTGTTTCGGATTTTTAGCTAAATTGTGTGTTCAAAATGTAGTTTTTGCATGTGCGAAAACCACGCTTTTGGAGACATTTTAGGCTAAAAGTTCAAAATGTAGACAAAAAATTTAGATAGTAATATGGCAGCGTGAAGTTTCTCGCCAAAAATATTTGTTGGCGAGAAATTTGGCGACTTGAGGGCGCATATCAGAGTAGTTCCAAAAAAAAATTGCTAACATCTAAATTTTTTCAAAACGGAAAATCAGTTAATTTTATTTTTACATTTTCCATTCTCTGATAAAATCTTACAATAGTTCAGAGTAACTGAAAGAGCACAATTTCTGAAATTAAAAAAGGTTTTCTTTTTCATGTTTTACAATGAAAGTTTTTTAAATCTAGTTATTGCAATCAAAATTACTAATTTCTGGAAGAAACACTGCAGTGTTTACGTATTTAAAACTTAAATTTTCAGCAGGTGCAGCGTTTCTACAAATGCCGAACTTAAAAAAAAGTATTTCCTATGATGTCATTGTACATAGTTTATATTGACCTTGTCATTGTACATAGTTTGGTGCTGTTTCCACACAAAAGAGCATCTTTACATTTTCCCCCTTGAATATTCCCTTGAACCTATGTTATTTATTCATCCTAAATGGGATCTCAGAATAACAACATTCTTCCCTCTTTCAAATCAGCATTCTCATCAGTTTGAATAGTCTCTCTTCTCTGCCACTAGATAAATCTTCCATGACCTACCCTCTCCTCTTCCCTGCGTTTCCCACTGTAAATCTACTGCGTTTTTTTTTTTTTTTCAAAGGCCACCTACGTTGCAGTAACAAACTCTGACGTATTCCCCCTTCAGCACGAATCGATTTTTCTTGGATAGTTTTAATAAAGGAGTGGAAATTTTTTTTAAATGGCATTTAAACGACACAGAAGCTATACTGCTGGTTTTAAGCTAAATGTAATTTCCCGTGCTGAACAAATTGGAAATTGAGCAGCAGCTCAAGAGTTTGAAGTGGAAGTGAGATGCATTCGATGTGGAAGAATTGAAAAAGAACTTAACAGAAATGAGCCAAAAGAAGCAATACCCTAAGATAGGCGAATCTAGAGGGTGACCTTATAAACTGGATAAAGCTACGAGGAAAGGGACTGGCAATTTCAATTGTAATAATTCACTTACAAGCTAACTTTATGGCAAAACGAATGAACATAAATGATTTCAAAGGAGGGCCTTGCTGGTATAGTGAACTAGAACAACAGTCGGGCAACAATTATCAATGGACTGGCAGGATAAAAAAGCATCTTTTCTAAAATATGTAAAAGATATTATTGATAAACAAAAACTTCTTCCATTACAGATAATAAATATGGATGAAACGTCATTAGCTTTTGGCTTTCCTGCAAACAGAACTATTGATGAAACTGGTGCAAAAACTATTCACGTTTACGACAGGGCATGAGAGAACGTCATTTACATGCGTGTTAGCTTGTGCCACAAATGGTGGCAGGCTAAAGCCGATGATCATTTTTATAAGGCAAACTATTCCAAAGGGAGATTTTCCTGATGACATAACTATTTGTGCAAAAATTGGGAAAGTTTAGAGCAAAATATTCAAAGTGTTTTTTGTTAGATACACTAAGCTAGAAAAAAAATGCTTATTCGTGTCATATCAATAATTATAGAAAAGAAATGGGAAATTATAAAATAACAGATGAGTGTATTACACATGCATGGATTCATATATAATTCAAAAGATTTCAAACAATTACCAAAAAGATATGTGAAATTGCAAAATAACAGATGGCTGTAAACATGCACGGATTTATCTGTAATTCAAAAGGTGACTATACTAAGCATGCATGGATGGATGGATGGATGCAAGTTAAAAAGATTTCCAAAATCTACATAACCTGAATATTTAATATAGAAGTTGAACATGCCCAATCTATAAAAAATGAAAACTCAAGATATGAAATAAAAGTAAGTACATGTGATTACAAAACTGACAAAAATTTATTTCAAAATATTCATGAATATGTAAATATCAAAGAGATGAACATAAATGCATACATAATGAATTACATTTTTGCATAGATCAGTACATGAACCATACACCAATAAATGAATTAGGAAGCACTTCCGCAGAGAACCCGGTAAATGTAAACATCGCCAACTTTGGCGATAATAGTTCAAACCTGGCAACCTATCGGATTTATCATATTCGCTTGTTCGAACTTTGCAGCCATTCCTCTTGCGTTTATTTTGTTGAATTATTACTGTCGTTTTCGCATTTGCAGATTTATATTATTCTTATCTTATTTATTATTATTTTTTCTGAATTTTTTAACAACGAATAGATAGAAATATTTTCGTAGATAGATGCCGGTTCTCGGTTCGTGATGAAAGGAGAAGCGAATGCTAATTTGTAACACGGCTGTTTACGTTGTGTTCTTAATTATTAACAACTCTAAGAACCACGAGGTTTCCAATGTCTAAAATAATTTGTTTTCGTAGACTGCAAAAATGTGCATCTGCATTTTAAATAATTAAGTAATGCTTTTATTTTTATTATTGGTTATTGTCATCTAAAATTAGAATAAATCAATTTTTATGGCGTAAAATTTTAACAAGATAATATATTGTTAATGCTTTACTAACAATAACCTTTCAGTGGATGGCAGGTGTGACATAAATAGATGATTAAATTGAAATAAAAAATATTATTGATTATCTAAGATGACAGAATAGTTTGATGCATCACCATGGTCATCAAAATTAGCAAACCACTGCTGGTGTAAGGAATATATTGTTTTCCGTGTTAACTGGAATTTAAGACAAATTTTTTTCGCATATCACGTTTAACCGGTAAATTTCAGTATATTAATACTAATTTATATTTTTTAAATGAATTTTTAATTCCATTATAAATGCTTATATATTGTCTTAATGCTTAATAATATATTTTTTCTGTGCTAACTTGAATTTAATACAAATTTATTTTCATATATCACGTTTAACCGGTTAGTTTTACATCTACATGCTTATTATCTGTGAATTTTTACTACCATATGCTTAATATATTGTTTTATCTGCTAACTTGAATTTACATACATTAAAAAACACGTTATGGCTCGGCTCATCGTCGATGAACCGCGAGCTTGGCGAGTAAAAATGCAACGCCGCCAACAGGTTCTCTGCGGATGAAAACCCATTATAATGCATGAATTTTAAATACTCATATATAAGGCTAACTTAACCAACTTAATGACCTAACAATAATGTACCTTGTATGTCAAACTAAGATAATGCATTAATGCAGATTTTAACTTTATATAATTATTCATTTACTATACATATATATAATATCAAGCCACAAAATATATCATGTTACTGACTGACATTCATTAGTGCCATAATCTCACTGCAGACAGTTCCTTCACCACAACAGCTTAAAATTTTAATTATTTTAAATATTAGGCTTAAACTTGAATAATTCATTTATTAAAACAGCCATTTCATATTATCCAAAAATATATAATGAAATATGATGGGGGAAATACGACTGTGCTGAAATATGATAAAAGTCGTCTTAGACTTTCATCATATTTTTGTACTGAACGTTATATATTGTCACAAGGACCATTTTTACTCGAGAGCTTAATAATATTAATTACAAAACAATACTAATAACACCATGTATATAGACACACAAAAGAAATGGTAAATATTTCGCGGTACACTCACTTATATGCCCACACCCAAAGATACAGAGCTAACCTTATGACATATTATTAATTTTAATGTTATCCTTGTCATAAATAAAAATACTACACAAAATATCAGCATATAGCCTCATCTGAATTTTATGATTATGTTAAACAGAAAGTCACACTAATATTAAAAAATATTTAAGAATATATTTTATTATGCAACACGGTTTAAATTAACGGAATTATCATAATTTTTAATTAAGATGCAATCTGTTATCTAAAATTAAAGGAAAAAACATACCAAACTCTTATTACTTTCCCACGAGTAACCGAAAAGTCCTTCCACACTTGCAGTTTGCCTTTGTAGAAGTGATAGTTCTTTTTAAACATTCAGCATTCCGACATGATAAAAAACAGCAGTCTCCAAAAATTACTTTTTACCATAAACTTTACATTTTCAAAAATAAGTCCATCTACATCATTTTGAAAATACACATAATTTAGAAGGATTTATTCCTAAAAAAAATTACGAAACGTAAAAATGCGAAATAAAATATCAGAAATAAACGATATGGTAATTGTAATCTAAATTAAATGGAAGAGGTAAGCGTGTTTACATTTACGTTTCCGTGTGTTTTAGAAATCGAAGAAAAGTGTAAGTATACTTTTTTTGCGTCTGTTTATCCGAGTCTTTTCTTTTCCATTCTAGAATTATATGTTTACAAAATGGTGAGCTCCAATAATTTGTAATTCATTATTATTTGTTGTTAATTTGGAAAAGTTGTATGTAAACAAAGCCGATCCGGTATTATTATCACATCTCGCAGTAACGTAATTAAATTCCAAAATTTTGCCCACTCTGTTAAATGTATGCAAACTGTGGCATTTTGAATATGTTTATTCTGTAATAAAGTAAATTAAATGTTTAAGATTCAAGCAAGTAAAGTAAGGCATATGCAATTAATTTAACATTTATTACTTTGTCAGTCATTACTATAAAATTTGCATTTAATAGTAGCTGATTGCTTTTAACTTAAACCAATGCATATAATCATGTATTTACTCCCAATATTTAAGTGCTTGTATTAAAGAGGATGTGTTTCACTGTGATGGAGTGGGATATATTGTAATTGGTTTTGTCCCTCTTGTCATCTTCTGTTTCATAAATATGCAGTATTCTCTACGGCTTGGACTTCAAACTGTGTTCTGCAGAGGCCCGAGGTTCGGCGAGTGAAAAACCCAGGGTTCCAGAGTTAAAAATTCTAAAAGAAAATTATAAAACATTCACACCAGTTAATTAATGTTTATTAACTGAAAAGTATAAACATACATTTAGTTACAAATTAGTTTTGAAACTTAACATGTGGTCATCATATACCAAAGAGAATGACATGCAATGCTTTTCAAAACCAAACATTTTTGTAACTGAAAATTAATTTAGATAACAGTGTTGAAAATCATACAATGGAGCACCTTTTTCACGTAAAGAAAATTATAAGGGAATATTTTCCATAGGAAAGAGCTAAGTATGACTACTTAAAAAATCCATTCAGTTACTACAATAAATCAGAAGGCTTGTCAGTCAGGAAGCTTGAAGCAGGACTGCATGTAACAACAATAGAGCTAGACTGTAAAAAAATGCAAGTGCACCTCTGTCACTAAATATAATGCAAGGGCAAATGACATCTGGAGCTCAAGTTATTGCTATTAATGAGTTAATTGTATTAATTTTTGTTAATATGTTTTCTTTACATAAAGTACCTGTAACATATTGATCTACTTTAAACATTATTTTAAGAATATTTTTCTAATGGTGGGATTGACTTCTAAAGGTTCCATGACAACATTTGAAGACCACTGCTCTCGAATATTACATAAATCTGTTGTCATAAAAATTTTATACCTATATTTATTCTGCATTGATTTGTTTAGTTTGGTAATTTTATAAGGCAACATTCCATATAAAATTTCAATAAAGGACCAATGAATACTCACCTTGAAGTTTCTTCTATCATTTTTGTAAACAAGTCCACAGATTGCCAATGTCTTCTTTGCTAAAATCTCAAATTCATCAGAAGTCACAGCATAATCTAATATTTGAAAACATTTAATAAACCTTCAAGTTAGAAACAAGTTTTACAAGAAATATTGCACAGAGGCAGAAAAACCTTCACAATATACTCCTTAAGGTTAAATTGCATAAGTAGAATTTTAGTATTTTTGACAGTATTAAATTTGACCAATACTGTAGGTTAAAACGGAGGCAAAATCGTCCACTAAGCTATTTAGATTTGTGTTATTTGCGTAGATAAAATTAAAGCATTAGCTAATGATTTTTACTGGCATATTAAACTTTTGCACTATTTATTTTGCGTATTATCTGCTTGTGATCTTAAAAAAATGTGTTCTCAGCTATAAAGGTAAAAGTATTGTATATTACTCTTTTATTGAATTTTTATTAATTTCTTTTTTATGAATTATGGAACCTTGAAGTGCAGTTACAAATGCTTAAGGCACTGGGAAAATTAAAGCACTGGATTGTGATAATTTATATTCATTGATTGTTTTATAAACTAATTAAATTAGAGTATTTTCGTGGAATCATATATTGCTATTATCTTCTAGATAAAGGCTGTAAAACTTTCATATAAGAGAAATGGAGACTTAATCCTAGTTTTTCATGTGCTTGTTTGTGTTTTGCTCATGTAGCTTTAGTTTTATATTTAATATGAATTGTCTGGTTATTCTAATAAATTAATTTTAGCTTAGCTTATACTGTCCATTATACATTAAACGTGCATGCGTAAAAGTATTACGCGCATGCGTGAACACATTATGCGTTGACACATGTGCAGAAAGTTTGTAGCTTTGAGGTTCGTATTATAGATCATTCCGGATTATGGGTGTCCAGATTAGCGACTTTTGACTGTATAAGGTATTTCTCTTGCCTTCCTAGCGTGTCTTTGTGGTGTAGTGGTTCTGCACACTGGGCCAGGAGCATAGCTAGAGAGGGCATCTGTCTCCGGGCACAGAGTCCAAGGGGCGCCAAACTGATGTTACGACATTTTAGAATTAAATGTTTTTAATCCTTGGCAAGCAGTAGGGGGTGCGAAATCTTCAGTTGTACCTGGGCGCTGAAAACCCTAGCTACGACTCTGCACTGGGCCAAAGTATTCCATAAGGTCCGTGGTTCGATTCCCGGCGAAGGCGATTGCTCATTTTTCATCTTCCCTGCATCCAAAAAGAATACCTAATGTCCCTACACAGATTTTAAATTATCTTTACTGTAATAGAAATCTAACTTTAAATACTGACTTAAGCTGCTACTTAAAATGTTTACATTCTTACTAAAATTTTATCTAATAATTCATAGCTCTAATAAAATTTCTTTTCCTTGGAGATGGCATAAAAACCTTTTCTAATAATAAATTATTGATTTATTACTTAACAGCTTTAGTTCAAGTTTTCAGCTTTTTAAATTACTCATAATTACTTTTACTTAGAAATTTCATTCTAGATATATACATTAAAGTAGGAGAACAAATTTTCAAGTTTTGTCTATTCTTTTTAAAAAATTTTTTTACTAAACAAATGTATTATATGCATTTATGTAACAAATACACTGAAATCTTGAGATACGAGCACCTCTATATACGAAAAATTTGAGATACGAGGAAAATATGAGTGAAAAAATTGTCTCTAAATATGAGCATTGACTTAAGTAACGAGTGATGAGCCAGACTGTTGATATGCGTGGCCCTAATTCCCGATCCAGCCCAAATCAAGGAATCCCCTCTTCAGATCACTCAGTGTTCTTTGATCTACATGTTTGTGCGCTTGTGAGTTGTTTTTTACATTTAACTTGAAAATTATTATTTTACTATGCTTTCCAAGAAAATTGTTGCCTCAGATAGTGCTGTAAAAGAAAACTAAGGAATCAATGGCCGTTGAAATTAAGGAAAAAATCATAGATAAACATAAGCATATAAGGTATTTCTCCCACTTTCCTAGCGTCCTTCATGGTGTAGGGGTTCTGCACGCTGGGCCGGTATTCCAGAGGTCCGTGGTTCGATTCCCGGCGAACGCGGTTGCATATTTTTCATCTTTCCTGCTTCCAATCAACCTAATGTCTGTACAGTGGCACCCGAACTAAAAGGGTTGTGGATGATTCTCCACACCCAAGATTTGGCGACTAGGTCCCCTAAAACCCTAGTTGCCCTTTAAAAAAGGGAAGTATATAAGGTATTTCTCCCACTTTCCTAGCGTCCTTCGTGGTGTAGTGGTTCTGCATGCTGGGTCGGTATTCCAGAGGTCTGTGGTTCGATTCCCGGTGAAGGTGGTTGCTAATTTTTCATCTCTCTGGCTTCCAAAAAATCTTAATGTCTCTACAAGTGTGGTGTGAGAGTGATGGAATTGGCGAAGACTTACGGCCGTTCGATATCAACAATCTGCTTTATTCTGAAGAAGAATTAAGAAATTAAGAAACTTGATGTTGCCAAAAGAATTAATTGTTACTTCCAAGCACTGTTTTGAAACTCCTAGATGTTGAGAAGCTATTGTTAGTATGCATTAACGAGAAGCAGTTAAAAGGTGATTTGGTGTCGGAAGCTATCATAAAGTAAACTATAGTTATATTACTTACCAGTGTTATTTATCAGAAAAATTGATTTTTATGTTGATATTTTGGGGGTTGCAGAACAAGTTAACTGGATTTCCATTATTTTCAATGGGGAAGTTTGTTTCTAGATATGAGAAATTCACTATATGAGCTCAATGCTAGAACGAATTAAAACTTGTATCTCCAGGTTCCACTGTATATATATATAATATATATAATCCTTAAATAAAGCTTAAAAGTTTATTTCGAATTCCTTGTTTGATTTTATAATAATTTCTTTATCATTGAAGTTACACAAACTAAAAATTCATTTTTCTCAAAATTCCTGTAAGGGCACATGATTTGTTTCTTTTGGGTTTCTAGTTATTTATTACATACAAATATGTATACCTCTTTTATATCCTTCAGTGAAAAATTTTATATTAGAAAGAAAGGGAATAAATTGTTATTTTTTATTTTCAAGTTTTGTACTACATGGAAAATTTTAATAATTTGTTCATTTTTAATTCAAGTTAAAAGTAAGTTATTTAATGGTTTACTCAATATATTAGAATTATTTGAAATAAATTTCTGTGTGATTCTGTTCACTACATTTGAAATACGAAGTGTAACCATCATAAATTTCTTGAACTAGCCATAAGATTTCAGAAATAGAATAAATTAGAATTTTTTTACTTTGAATCATATTATTGCTTTTTATGTTTGGTAAATATTTAGTAAATGAGCATTAAAAAATCTTTTCATTGTGGTTTAAAAAAGAAAAGAAAGAAAGGAAAAAAAAATTGCAGCCTGTCAGCTGCTTTTGCAAAAATTGCAGACTGTGCATTTGGCCCACATGCAATTAGATTTTGAGACCACTAGCTTAAGGTATGTGACAAAGTCTGTTTTTTATTTTATGTGAATTAAAAAATTTTACTTGTTTCTCAAGTTATTAGCTGAAAATTTTAGCTCAAGTAATCAAAAATTTTAAATAAAGTAATCTAAATAGGTTCATTATTAAAAGTCACTTTAAGTGTAAAGTATGTAAAATATTGAAAGTTTCTGAGTCTTCATGTAAATTTAAATGTTTATAAGTGTACAGTCCAAAGTCGTTAATCCGACACCCATAATCCGGAATGATCTATAATCCGGACCTTAAAGCTACAAACTTTCTGCGCATGCGTCGCGTTGACGCATGCTCGTAAGACCTTTAGGGCTGCGAATATGCGTATGCGCATAATACGTTTATGCATGCGCATTTAATGTATAACGAACGGTATAAGCTAAGCTAAAATTATCTAATTCAGTTAATGTTGCAGATTGCGTTGTTCCTTAATCAATCTTCGAATTGGATCCGACTTATTATTTTTTGCAGACTGTTTAGAGCAATTTTATAAAAGTAAGCTTGAAACTTTCGATTATGTCAAATAGAATTTCCGATATATATTTACTGATATGTAAAGGATCTACAAAGCGAAAGTATGTTTCGAAGTCCATTAAACAAAAAGTGGAATTGCTGCAAAAAATGGATAAATGTATATCCTTCGTTTCTCTAACCATTCCGAAATCTGTTTATCAATTTCACGCTACTCTGCGGTGCAGAGGGGGGGGAGACGCCGCGTTGCACAATGGATTGGAAGTTAATCTGTCAGCACTATCCTTATCTTCAGGGCAGATGTTTTTATTTTATTTAGCTTATAATTCCTTACTAAATGTAGTATTTCATACTCGATGTACTCCGTCTTTGATATGATTTAAATCAAATTCCTCGTCATTATATTTTGCTTCCAATAGTGAAGAAAGTGACATAGAGGTTATTAAAAACAAAAAAATTTCTATTGAAAAATTAGTCGGTATTCTCGACACAGCAATTATAGGACTTGAAGAGCGGAACTTTGTAACTGAAGAAATTATTCTCACATAAAACGAAGCAACTTAAACAACTTACATTGAAAGAAATGTTTAATAAAGTAAACAAATAAATATTAAGCTTTTTTTTTTATAAATTTTGATACCCTTTAGATCATAATTGTTCTTTATTTCATAAATTATGGTTTCATATTTTTAATTTTATAATTTCTGCATGCCATCTTACCAGATTTAAACTGATGATCTATAATCCGGAAAAATCGATAATCCGGAATCGCTGAAGTCCCGATGAGTCCGGATTAACGACTTTTGACTGTACAATATATACACCATATTATGACCACCCTGTCAATAATATGTAGGACCATCTTTAGCCCTCAAAAATGCAGCACCCGGAATGGCATTGACTCTACAAGGTGCTGATAGGTAGTCTGAGGTATCTGGTATTAAGTATTCATCATCTGGTCCTGCAATTCCCACACATTGCGAGGGGGTAGTGTGGCAGCACAAATTTGGCAGCTACAAGTGCTCTATTGGATAAATGTTGGGTAAATTTGGAGGCCAAGACATTACTTGAAAGTCAGCAGAATGTTCTTTGAACTACTCCGTGACAATTCAACCCTTATGACATGCTGCATTACCCTGTTGGTAAACACCATCCCACACCAGAAATACTGTTGTCATGAATGGGTCTGCAACAACGTTCACATAGCACACAGATTCAGGAATTGTTCTATGGGGATTATGGGTCCTAATGGTGCTCCATGAAAACATTGCCCACATTATAATACCCCTGCCACCTGTTTTTTTTTCCCTTCCAACTGTGCATCCGGGAGCCAGGGTTTTGTTTGGAAATTGGTGTATTAACACATGCCCATGGATGTGATGGACCAGAAAACATGATTCATTGGACCATGCAACTTTCTTCCATTCTTCTAATGTCTAATTCCAATGTTTCTTGGTCCATTGCAGACACAGCTGGTGATGTGCCATCAGTGCAGGGATATGCTTCGGCCTCCGGCTGCATAGGTCCATGAACAGCAATATACTCTGCACAGTGTGTTGAGAAACACTGTCTGGGTCACCAGTGTTGTAGTTGGTGGTGATTTTGGCTGTTATAGCTCATCAGTCATGGAGAACAATGCGTAGCAATCTCCACTGTCCTCTGGAATCAGTGTGCCATCGACGACACACTACTAGCCGGCCTTTTGTTGTTTCATCAACCATACACCACTTTTAGCCCCTTCCAGTACGATTTAATAATAAAAAAGTGTGCATGAAGTAACCATTTAATTTTTATTTAAAAAAAACTTGTTTCATTTTATAATTCTTACATATTTTTAATTAATATTCATTTTTACATATTGTTAAATAACATTAAAAACGGTAAATTTAAGAAAAAAATCAGAGCAAAACTTTAAAACTTTAATAAGGTATATGGTTAATAGTCTTCAAGCGTGTGGTACTTTTCAAAACACTTTGGTAAGTGCAAAGGAATCCTGCATTGTTTACACTGCCAGGAAGTCTCACTTCTAATTTTATTCTTATAACACACAAGGCACCTTTTAGGTTTTCTTTTATTCTGAGTTGAAGGAATGTATTCTGGAAAATGTCCCCATCTTTTAGCCTGCAACCTAGCCGAGGTGTCACTACATGAGGGTGGCCATAATGTAATAGCTCTTTGGTGTACATCAAAGTTTTTAAAGCATGTTATTGGCTTCATACAAAAAACTTTTTTATTTTCTGCAGGATTTTTAATTTTTATCATCTAGATAGAATTTTTAGGTTATTTTTTTGGTTGACAAAGAATTCCAAATTCTTTTAATTAAATATAAAAAGATAATCATGTTACAGTCAATATCCAGTTTTTCAGTATTGTAAGTGATAGTATGGTTATTATTTATATCACTGTTTGTGGACTATAGATAATATTAAAGCATGACTAAATACATTCAACTTCTCAGTTTCAAGCACTGTATTATGATTTTTTATAATATTTAATTTTTTAAAAGGATTTTACAGGTTTTTCCTTTTGGGATGGCATAGATTGATTTTCTTTACCTTTTGCAATTACTTATAGGGATAGCATAGATTGATTTTCTGTGCCTTTTGCAATTACTTATAGTTGATATCTTATTAACTTTTAATGTGTATTCTTATTATATATTATTTTTTAAAGTGTGGTATGGGAACCCTGCAGTTAGACCAAGTGTGTTTGTGGACTATAGATGATGTTAAAATTTGGCTAAAAGAAAATGGTTTTGGACAGTACATTCAACTTCTCTGTTATAATCATCGTATTGATGGTAAAGCTCTGTTGACTTTGTCAGAGAATGATTTGAAGTCACCTCCACTGTCAATATCTGTAAGTATTTGTTTTTGTAGTTATTTTGCATAGCAGGCAAGTTTTAAATACCATCTAGCCTATAAGATTTGAGCCTAAGGCTACACATTTTAGAGATCCCAAATCATCCTGCGATTCCTTATAATCCTCTTCCCTAAAAAAGGAAAGAAAAATGAATGTTGAAGGTCTCTACAAAAGTTTTGATCAGATTATCTTATTTGGTCCTTGTTGCAGGAATTGAAAGCTATTTACCTAGTAGTCAGGATTAGAGTATCATCTAGGCCTACAGTAGGGGTCTTCAACCTTTCTCGCCCGAGTGCCACATCAATAAATTCACAAAGATCCACGACCCCATGTCTGTCAAAAAAAAAAAAATAGTGTAGTCAAATTATTTATATAAAAAAGGGAGGTTTGTTTTGCAAGACTACAATTGATTCTCAGCCAAGAGATAGTGTTACAGATTTGTATGTATATATATACACACATCATTGGTTCCAAAAAGTCAACTGGAAATCGAATTAAATTGTTTTAAATCAATAAAAAAAAGTATAAAGATGATTATACAGAACGATGTTACAAAATGCATTTGCAATTAAAAAAAGAAAAAAACTTACATTACTGGCAGTAGATGGTAGTTACTTTAGTTTTAATGTGAAATTTGACATTGTCTTTGCTGAATTAAAGCTTCAATATCCGGTTAAATCTGTATTGTTGCAATTCGTAAAGTTTCCTCCAAATATTTGTCTGTCAGCCATATTCTTGGTTTTGATTTTAGGATTTTCATTTTACAAAAAAAGCTGTTCATATATCTAGGTACTGCCAAAGATAGAAGGCATGAAGAGTGCATGTTTATGAATTCCTGAATACTTGTCTTCGGTCACATATTTCGAATAAAAATCAATTAATGTAGGATTTTCAAGAAACTTGCATTTTACTGCAGAGCACACTGTAAATCTATAAATTCTAATTGGAGTTGGAACAATATTACATAAGAAAAAGTAAAATTTTTGAAAAATTCGTCATTTTCAGAAAATGTTATCTCAAATGTCAGGCATGCCAATAAAATGTTTTAAATATCAAGAATAAGAGAAAAAAAATGTTACGGCAAAATGCTGACAAGGCAATTTTTCTTGAAATCAAAATTTCTTCAAATTCAAATGTGGGGCCACCAAAATACCTTCAGCAGGCCCGCGGGTCACGGATTGAAGACACCTAGCTTACAGGATTTGAGCCAAAGTTTTCAAATTTTAGGGATTCCAGATCATCTGTGATTTTCCATGAAATAAGAAAAATTGGTGTTTTTAGAAGTTTCTGTTAGAATATTATACCTGAAACTTCTAATTATCTAAATTGGCCCTGTATTAAGGACTGAAAGATTTACTTTTTTAGATTAACAAGATATTTTAACTTATAACTGATTAGTTTTTATAAATTATTATAAGGGAGGGATTTGTCAGTTATTAGAAAGGACTTTTGATTACTTGTACAGAAAATTAATTGCCTGTAAACATGTCCTGCTTCAATCATAAATAACATTGGCAGCCAGAGAAGGAAGTAATTTTTTAAGAACACCATTTAAGGTGTTCTTTTAAGAGATATTAAATAAAATTATGTTTTGCTTTGAATTCTTAACATGTTTTATTTATGTGGAGCCAAAACCATACATATCACCGTAAAAATGCTAGAGCTGAGTGTATGGGCTAGGGAACTTACTAAATGAAAAAAAATCCATATAGCAGTTAAAATGTGCACTTTCTGTTTTAACTAGGATATTATTTCTTAACGGCTCTTTGTTTCAGAGTTTTTGATGCTGCATTTATGATATCACTATCATTAGAATTATTCAGATGATTGTATGTAATAAGAAATTACTTGAAGTAAAAGCTATAATAATTTTAAAATATTTTCTTGAATATTCTTGAGCAATCTATGTTGCTAAAGCTGTGTTTACTTTTACTCATTTTCTATTTGGATTATTACATCATAACAATTTATTTTTATTGCCATTGAGGGTATGGGTAGCAGGTAGCGCTTCTGACACCATAATAATGATGAATACATTTGTGAGGTTGCAGAATACTTACTTCATTTTGAACTCGCAAACATATTTATTACAATTATGAGAAGCTCTTTACAAATATATATAATTCATGGGTAGCATAGAACAGTTATTGAAGAAGTGAAATATAGTCCTCGTGACGTGAGGAACTTGCTAACGAGCGTCTCTCTAGTCAAGAGTTCAAATTCATTCTGGTGTGTTGTTCCAATGGAAACAATTGGCAGACAAGAAAACAAGATCATTGGTTCATCAGCCCTTCTGAAATTGAGAGCCCTTTGATGACAAACATAGTGCAGAATGCTTATGTCTCTTGCACTGCCAACTGGAATGTATTGTTGTGTCTGCGATATCTGACCATGTCGTCTGGCACATTATAAAAGCTTGGAAACAGTGACTTGCAGGGACTGCACACATGATATTCTAATGTCTGTGTGGTCTGCTGCACTATATTATCCTAAAAAGAAGAAGAAAAAAGAAATATATGTGTCTGTTCTAAGAGCAAAATTTAGTTTTAGTTTCAATCAGCAATAATTTTATAAAAAATGAGCAAATATGATTTGGGATCTTTCACCTACTTAGCTCAACTGTTTTATAACTGTTTTTAATAAAACATGTATACAATGTCATTTGTGTTTAGTACAGTCATGTAGGTATTACCTATGAACTGTAAAATTACTTTGATAGTAGTTGAAAATGATGAGAATGGAAAGTAACATCTTGTTGCTGTTCTGTGTAAGTATACCAACAGTCATGTAACTTCAAAAAAGTTATATAAATTCATCTTTTTCATTTAAATTTCTTTATATAGCATGCAGAAAATGGAAGACTGATTTATTATGTTGAAAACAAAAGCAGTAGATTTAAAAAATAATCTTTGTGTAATTGTGTAAGCTTTTGTATGTACTCGTTAGACAAAACATTAGGTCACCAACAGCAGTTTTCAGATCCTTTATAAATTGAAAAAAATTTCTGCCAAGCTGTAAAATCAAATCCACCAGATACATTGTCTTTGAAACACACAATCTCTGTTAGATAGATGCCCATGAATGACTGTGACTGAGTCACTTCCATAAATTAAGCTGATTAAACTGGATAATGTTTTTTTTTTTTTTTTTTTTTTTTTTTTTTTTCCTCTGTTTGAATAAAATTGCCCTTATATTAAATCTAAGTACTGTAACAGAACTATTTGTATATAACCGAACTATTTAATTGAATACCATATTAGTGGTGAAGAGAACAACTTACTGCCAGTTGACCTTCAGCTACAATTAGGATAGGTTCTCCAGTATTATACGAGGAATATTCAGAAAGTAAGGAACGTTTTGGAATTAAAAAGAAACTAAGTACAAGAAAACAAAATTATTATATGCATCAGAAAGAGCGACTAAAATTCTACTTTTCTACATAGTCACCAAATAAATGGAGGTACTTATCATAGCGGTGGACAAGCTTTGAAATTCCTTCGTCATAGAATTCTGCTGCCTGCAATCTCAGCCACTCAGTGACGTGCATCCGCAGCTCCTTGTCGTCGTCAAAGCGCTGTGTTGCTAGCCAGTTCTTCATTCTTGGAAACAAGTCAAAATCACTAGGTGCAAGATCGCGACTATAGGGCAGATGAGGAAAAATCTCCCATTTGAATGAATTAAGGAGTTCTTGAGTGCAGTTTGCCATGTGAGGTCGGGCATTATCGTGCAAAAACAAAATTTTGACGTCAACTTTCCTCGGTGCTTGTCTTGAACTGCTCTCCTAAGGTTGCGCAAAGTTTGACAGTACCACTCAGAGTTTATATGGCACCTCGTTCAAGAAAATCAATCAGAAGCACACCTTGCCTATCCCAAAACACAGTCGCCATAATCTTCTTTGGTAACAAGATTTGCAAACATTTTCTTGGTCTTTTGGGGGGAACTTGTGTGCCCCCACTGCACTGTAATTTTTTTTTTTTTTTTCACAATATTTTTGGCTGTTTGCTGTTACAAAATTGGTAGGGGTAATTTTTCTTTGGGACATTACAAACTTGAAGAAGGATGCAACTTGGAAAGTTTAGAAGGATTTTAAGGCAAGATTTATAGACCCACGATTCTAGAAGATTCAAGAAAAATGTGACAAAATGACAAATGTCTGTATGGTATTAACACATAATGGATGTATTTTACAAAAAATTTGCAATGAATTTCTTACTTTTTGGAGAACATCTGGAAGAACAATGAAAACATAATATTTGAATGTTTTACTTCTGAAACTAGAGTCTTTTTTTTTTTTTAAACATGCTCATCTTTCCTTTATTTTCTCTACTTTTCACTAGACACAATCACGGGAAATATTAAAAATCCTTCTTATTGTATCACATGGACAGGCATTATAGAAAGGAAATTTTTGATTAATAAAGAAATTGGAAAGTGGCAATTTAAAAGATTCATCTAATGTGTCTTAATACACAGGTCTGACGCTAGGCATTTTCCAACCTGGTAAAATCACATGGAATATTAAATTTATATCTGTAGATCCTAAATTTTGCTCACTAGTGCCCTTTTAAATTCTGCTTTCAGTGCCTGCTCTAAATTCTAAAAGTTTTGCCATTTCTAGGTTGTGTTGCTCTGTGTGTCACTAAATTCTAAACATTCTGCCACACCAGCTCTGTAACCAGCCCTTACCATATATATTTCATATTTCTTCTGAATGTTCATATTGCTAAAGAAATAAAATAAAATAAATAGCAGCTTTTTATATACATTCTAAATGTAATTTAGATTTTTTTTTTTTTTTTTTTTTTTTTTTTTAGAATAACAGAAATTTTTAATTAAATCCAAAAATTCTAAAATGAAATGATGGAAGCATGTTGAAGAAGCCAAATACATACAGAGAAACAAAATTATTCTTTAAATATATATACAGTTATTATTATGTAAATTACCCAGTTATCATTTCTATTTCCTCCCCAGAATGCAAATCACTTAGATAGTTT